AGATATAGTCAACAATTTTTTGACACATATCACCTCAATTACACAATTTTTCTACGTATATTTACTAATTATTGCTTATTCAAAGGCTTATTTACTCTGTATTGAAACGTGATGCTTGTTTTATACTGAAATAATGTTCGATTTTGGACTACTTGGTTAACTGTATTAGATTGAGGCATGTTTAGAATTGAAGTAGCTTATTGAAAAGTTCTTCAGTTTTTAATAAAAGATTTATTAAGTACTTAAGTGTTTTTAAGTACATTACTTGGATTCATAGTTCAATAAATACTCATTGTATTAGATAATGTGTAACTTGAAAATTTTTAAATATATTTATCTCTTTATTTAGTTCATAATATTGGATAAAATGATCAAATTTAATGTATTATTTTTGAAAATACAAAAGTTAATCTACAAGCACCAAATTGAGTTTTTGCTAAAAGTATTTTTTATATCAAAAATTTCACTCCTAATTTTATGAATGATGTTAATCAAATGCCTCAAAAGCACTTTTAGCACCTAAAAGTGCTTTCTTATTAGAAACACTGCAATTGGACTATAAAGGGGACAACTAAAAGTACTTGTAATTTTGAAGAGAGTATGTGTTATTAGACCTAAATTAATTAATTCAAAAATTTACCATGTTATTTTGGGCTCACAAGCAAATAGAGTAGCTTGGCTTGGGAAGAATTTTTCAGGGTTTGGCTACGGCAGCTAGGATAAAAAAAAATTTTTCCGCTTTTATTGTGGATTTACTTTCTTCGTAATAAATTTCTTTAGCTCTTTATATATGAAAAAAAGGGGATAAAAATCGAATCAGGTAGATTTCATCGCGGCAAGAATCCATCAATCAAAGACATAGGTTCCCCGAAAGAGATATGAGAATATGAATATAGGCAAAATATTAGTACCTGCATGGTGAAAGTGGTAAATCAAGTGACGTTCTAATTTTGTTCGATGCGTAGCTTAAAAAACATCTCCTGATTAATTGATTATATGGTAAAGATCAATCAATATTCAGATATGCATACTCGCTACCTGATTATAAATTTCATATGTGCATAAACTAGAATCAAATTTGCCACATTCCCCTAGAAGATATGCAAAACTAACCTAATCCTTCTTTTAGGCAGCTGTGCCCCATCCTTCCGACAAAGTTATTCGGGTTTGAAATTTAATGTGACACTTGGAAACATTTTTACGGTTAGTCACGTCAAGAATGAATGTGAAGCATATGTGTTTCCAATTAAAGAATAGACAAAAACAATAAAAAAATTTCAGTTTTAACCCTCATTTTAGGATGAGAAACTTTCATATTTATAAAATTTGCCTCTTGTTTCTCAATTGCTCAAGGAAATCTAGGATTCAAAACTTAGCCTGTAAATTCAAACAAGTGAAGAAAAATGTTGTTAGTAGCAGTATACCTTTGTATTCACGAAATACGCAGCGGTAAAGTTAGTAGCAGTATACCTCTGTTTTTCATCCCACATCAGTTGATTGTGGGGTATTTACTCTGGGTTTAAGGTGTATGGGATTGCCCTCCTGTCACCAATTGGTTGGATAGGTAATCCTTGTGAGTCCCCCTTAGATTGCTTTCGGGTCGGTTTGCTGATGCTTGTTACGTGTCTCTCATTATTTGTGTGTGTGTGTAATATTCTGTTTCAGAAAAAAAAAATGTTGAATTCTGTTTTCTATATTGACCAAAGAAGGACAACCAACAAAATCTGAGTGACATATATGTTGCCTAAGAAAGTAGTAAATTTCTTAGTCCTTTTCGATATATCCTTAAAATTAAATAAAGCTTCTTTGTTTTTTTTTTTTTTGGAAGATTTAACAAGCATTTCCTTAATATGCTGCCTTGTGATACTTTTTCTACATCCATTGATCAGTGCTTGTTTTGCATATCTGTGTGTGGTTATTTATGTGTGTTTTCATTCAAGTTTGAGTCCAATAAATTTTAGTTAAAATTTGCATTTGTAATTAAAGTGATAAACATTACATTTCTATGAATTTAAATAGTCAAAACTTCATGTTTTATCGGATTGATTGGTTCAATTATCAATCAGATTAAAGCGAGTAGAAGTTTGGATGATTTTTCATGATTAGAAGTGCATTTGAATGATCATAAAGCATACAATTGAAGAAATGCAATGCGCAGGATACTTGAGCAAGAAAAGGAAAGATTCACGAAGAAATACTCATCTGAGATCCATCTTAGGACTAACTCAAAACTCCTGCTGGAACATCTTTGCTAGTTGCTATCGAACCTGATTTTCCACTCTTAATATGGTAGCACATTTTTGTTTCTTTTAAAGTTTCTCACTTGCAGAGATCCTTGTGGTGTCAGGAAAGGCACGAGGTGGAATCTGTTCGTAAAGGTAACAATCAAATATGTTTTAAGTTTATTGTTCTTACTAACATCCGGGTAAATTTCTTATGAGTTTCATGTACCATTAGCAGTTGTTCAGATTCTGGCAATTGTTCTGTTTTGGTTAAAATTGGTAACTATTTTCATTTCTGTTGAAACTTTTTGTTCTATTTTACTGCATTGTCAAAACTTTAGCGATCACATAGCATTTCTCAATTCTTCCCAAACTACAATGCATGTGGTGCTTTGTGCCTCAACTTCCAATTTGCAATAGTCCGACTTTTGCAGACTTGTGAATGTTATGGCTTATTAATGGACATTTCCTGTGACAATGACACTAGAAAAATGTAATAGTATTAGATAGCTATAAACTACTTATTTGCCCCAAAAAAGTTGGTAAATGTACAAAATTATTTGAGAACAACTAGTAGAGGTGCAGCTACATTATTCTGTAAAAGTTAATCACATAAATGAATGTTTTAGGAAATTTTGCTGTTTCCTGAGCAATTTTTGGTTGGACTACAACCTCTAAGATCATTAACTCCACCTAATCTAGTCCACATGGAAAATAGGGAGAATTGGAGTTTTGGTCCCCAATGTATTACAAACGCGCGAAACTAGTCCCCAATCTATTGGGGAGAACAAATGCGGTCCCCAATCAATCCAATTTTGCTCGAAAGTGGACAATTAACTGGTTTTCTGCATTTTTTGCCGGAAACAAGTCACGTGAGAGCACGTGTTGGCAGTTAAAATCCTTTTCTCAATTTTTTGCGTGAAAACCCATAAAAAATTATTTCCAGCCTTCTGGTGCCCCACTTTTTAATTAGCAAAGACAAAACACACTAACTGTCCCCCCTTTCTTCTCTTCGGTCTCCAGAAACTCCAACAAAAACCCAGACCTAACATTGTGCATAAAACTAGCAAATTGGAAGCAAAATCTTGAAGAACTCGGTGATAGTGGAGTTGTTCGTGAGTTTGGGAGGAGGAAATGACACTAAGACCAAAAGAAATAAATGGAGCACAGCCACCAGATTACGGTATGTGATTTTTACCTTAGGTAGCATTACACATGCTTAATTCATGCTTATATTCTAAGAATGTGATGATTTTGGGTGAGATTTTCACTTGGGAGACAAAGAATGTCTTAAATTTTGGATTTTTAAGACATTCTGACAAAGCCCTAAAATATTTATTGTCTACCATTGTATGTGGTCCCGTATGTCTCTCTGGTGTGGGTTGTCATGGTAGACAATGTTGGGTGGGTAGGAAGACTCGATAACATGCTTTTGTGGTCCTTGAAGCTGATTGAGTGCAAATTACTTGTTTATATAATCTAGTTTGTCACTTTTGATACTTGTTTATTGTGTCTGTTTCTTTTTTTTTTGTCCCTAAATTTAGACAGTGATAGCACTGAAGTGACTATGAAGTGTTATATATGGGGAAAATTGAAACCGAACCTGATGTGCATTATGAGGGAGGAGAATTAAGGATTTTTGATCATGTAGATGCCACAGGCATTAGTCTATTTGAAATGGATAGAATGCTAGAAAATCAACTTCAAGCTGTTGGTGACAAAAAGTACCATATCCTAATCGAGAAACATGGATTTCGTTTGTTAAGACATGATAGAGAATTGCATGCATATTGTGCTGATCATTTTGACCATGGTAGGGTGGTTGATTTGTATGTAGAGGTTTCCTTTAATGATATTCTAGCATCACAATGGGGGTCTGACATTGAGGATGGGGACTTTGTGTTAGAAGATGAAGAGGATGAAAGTGATGATGGATATATGGCTAGTTCAGGTTTTGATTTGAGGGAGTTCTCAAGAGAACACTCGGATTATGATCAAAATTCAGATGATAAAGATTATGATGAAAATGTTGATGAAGATTCTGAATGGTTAGGGGTAGAAATAGAAAACAAAAGCAGCTGAATAAGCACCTTAAAAAAAAGCTCTACAGATGCTAGGATGAGCCACATGCTTAGGAAACAAATGCCAAGTGATATTGAAAGTGATGATGACAATTCTGATGTAGATGCTGCCCCAGATTCAGCTACTGATATTGGTAGTGATACAGGGTTGGATGAAGACAAAAGCTTTAGACCCCCTGTGTTTGATCCCAAGGATGAAAATAACCCCAAAATTAAACTTAGACAAATATTTTCTTCCTTCAAGGAGTTGAAAGAAGAAATTAGAACCTGGAACATCAGGAGAGGGAGATCATTTAAATTTGTCAAGAGTGATAGCATAAGAGTTAGAGCAATATGTCCTAAAGATGGCTATGATTGGTGCATATATGCTAGGAGGATGAAAGGGGATGACAGATTGGAAGTTAGAACATTTCAAAAGAAGCACAAATGTGGATTTTCATACCACAACAAGGGTGTGAAGTCTGGGTGGGTAGGAAGAAGATATGTTGGCATATTTAGGGAGAACCCAAGGCTGGACTATGTTAGTTTCAAAAATCTGGTAATGAAGGAGCACAAATGTGATCTTAATAGACATCAAGGCTATAGAGCTAAGAAAATTGCAGAGAATTTGGCCAAAGATAGTGAGATGGATCAATATAATAAACTGCTTTAATATATCAATGAAATTGAGAGAAGTAATCTAGGTAGCACAGTAATTATGAAGTTGGTAGATGACCATTGTGATACAGTAACTGGACAGGACATATTTCAGAGATTATATATGTGCTTTGCTGGGGTAAAACAGGGGTTCTTAGCAGCTTGTAGGCATGTGTTTGGATTGGATGGAACTTTTCTCAAAGGTTTAGCAGGGGGTGTACTATTGACAGCAGTTGGAGTTGATGCTAATAATGGAATGTATCCTATAGCTTACGCAGCAACTGAGGGAGAAACCAAAGATTCTTGGATTTGGTTTCTAACATTACTCAAGGAAGATTTGAAAATTGAAAAGGACTATGAGTGGATAATAATGAGTGATAAGCAAAAAGGAATAATCCAAGCATGTGAAACAGTTTTTTCGAATGCAACCCACAGATTCTGTGTTAAACATATGCATAGTAACATGTCATCTGCTGGGTTCAAAGAGGCGGCAATGAGGAAAGCTCCGTGGAAAGCAGCTAAGGCAACTACTCCAATTCAATTCAGAAGAAGAATAGAGGCAGTTGCTGAACTTGATGCTGAAGTAGCTAAGTGGTTGGATGACAAAGATCTGGCAGAGTGGAGTAGATCACACTTCAACACTTACCCAAAGTGTGATATGTTGCTGAATAACATATGTGAATCCTTCAAAAGCAAGATCTTAGATGCTAGAGAGGAGTCAATTGTTGCAATGATGGAGTCATTGAGATATTTTAGGATGTCAAGAATGCAGGAAAACAGAGATAGAGCCAAAGAAAAATGGAGCAAATTTGCAATCTGCCCAAAAATCAAGAAAAGAATGGAGGAGAACATAGATAAGGCAACTTACTGTGTGCCTTACAAATCCAATGAAGTTAATTATGAAGTTGCTGATCCCTATAGTGAAAAGCATGCAGTTAACATTGAAGAGAAGACATGCTCTTGTAGGAAATGGGACTTGACAGGGATACCTTGCTATCATGCAATTTCAGCACTTTGGATTGCAATGAAAGATCCAATGGAGCATATTGATGACTGCTACAGAGTGCACAATTATCTCAAGTGTTATGAGCCCTACATACTACCTCTTCATGGAGAGCAAGATTGGGCAGATATGAATATCTAGCCCCCACTCCCACCAACATATGGAAGAGCACCAGGAAGACCTAAGAAACAAAGGAGAAAATCAACTGATGAGGTGCAGGAAATGAAAGATAAAAGAGTTAAAGTAAGACGAGTTGGACAAATCTGTAAATGTACTTACTGTGGGGAAAGGGTCATAACACAAGAACATGCAAGCTTAGGCAACAAAAATGTGGTGACAATTCTGATGTAAGTCTATCACAGATGTCATATGCTAGATTGCATGAAGCACAATATGAAAGAATCTTGTCACAAATGGATACAAACCATAGCATATCTATGAGTGATAAGATATGATATAGTTGAATTCAAGTCCTATGATTTTCTATTTGCTTAATGATAATGGCTTTAATCTTATGTTCTAGGTTGAAGGTATTGGCTCCACTGCTAAGAAGACAACCAGAAGAGCAGTGAAAAAAGCTGTACAGTTTTCTTATTTCCAGAATTTGATTTATATTCTTAATAACATAACTACTGCACATACTCATTACTCATACTATTGTTGTGCAGGGAAAAGGCACTAAACGTGTAACAAAGAAAGTAACTTGATCACAAAATAGCCAACAAGCTACTGACAGCATCAATACTACCTCTTCTGCCCCTGTTGCTGAGTCTAACTTGTATGAGGTTTTTGGAATTTCAGATCCACATGTGGCACATATCAGCCAACCAGTTGCTCCCATTGCTTCTGAACCATTTAGAATTAGGGACGTTCAAATTCATCTCGGACTCCCCAGGACCAGTGAATGTGGTGACAAGTCTGATGTTAAAGGAAAAACAAAAGTGAACTAATTATATATTTCATTTGTTGCTAGGTAGACTTGGCACTTCTTTTGTTATGTTCGAAGTAATGCAGATGTTTTAATGCAGCTTATTTTGTACTTCTTTTGTCATCTAGTCTGATGAAGTCTATGTATATTTTGTAAGGGAGAAATGGAGGTCCCTTTTTCATGCTTGTAAGAATTGAATTGCAATATTATTATTTAAAGATTGCTGGTTTTATGGCAGAATTGTTGCAGTTGAGGTTTTATGGTTTTTATGGTTTTATGGCAGAAATGGAGGTTTTATGGTTTTTATGATTTTATGGCAGAAATGGAGGTTTTATGGTTTTATTTATTTAAAGATTGTTGGTTTTATTGCAGTTCAATTGAGCAAAGAAAGTATTAAGATGATGTTCAACTGTAGTTGAGGTTTCATTTTTCCATTTTTTGATAAGATGATGTTCAGGTGATAAGATGATATTGCAGTTGGTTTTGTTTCTTTTTCCATTTTTTGGGTGAATTTCGTTGGTGCTGCAAATTACTCAAGTTGCTGGTTACTGGTGAAAAGCTGCAGAATATTGGTTTCCCTTGGAAAACTACGGCCATCATATGTTTTTTAGATTACAAATTTGTTTTGTAATCTAAACTATCTAAATTTTTACAGGGATAATTTGGAAATACTGCCTTCATTTGGCCTCTAAATGCCTTAATAATGCCTTCATTACAGTACAAATAGCATTGAATACAACATTACTGATATCTTACTAGCAATATAATACATCCCAACCTACACAATCACTCATTGCTAATTACTAGTAGCTTGTCACAATCCGCTAAAACATAGCTATCCCATCCTAATTTCTGGCTTTTTACACCAGCAAACAAACAACAACAACAGTGCCAACAACACAGTTGCAGACACTAATTTTCTTTCCCATGCTCTTAGTTTTTCGATTGTGGCATCCTTGGCATTCATGCTCCGCAGCAAACCAGGTATCAAAGCAGTGGATCTTCGGCACATTATCAAATCATACCACTCGAAATAGTTGCAACCTTTTTCATCTCTTTTGCCCTTCATGGTCAAAAAAATATTGCTTCAAAAAAAACATAAAATTCAGAAGCTGAAGCAAGAATTTAAAATAGCCCATACCTCCTTCATGCCGTAGCTGAAATACCTTCTTCTAGGGTTGTTGTGTGTCCAAGAGGTAATCATCATTGCTTGTAATTTACAGTGGCAAAGCTTTTCTGGTATCATGACAACATACAACCAGATAAGAAGACAAGACAAATCTATCAAAATTATGCCATCAGTGTCAAGGATGAGGAAACCCAAAGCTCAAAATTCCAATTTGTACAAGTCTTTGTCACGTGCCAGTAATTGAATTTGGCTACAAGGGTTTTTTCTACAGTTGGGGAAGAACAGAGAGAACGACAGAAAGAAAGAAAGGGATAGATTGGGTTTTGCTTTTGTTAAACAAAAATTTTACCCCCTGCTCAATTATATAGTAGACTAATACTAATTAATATAATTAACTCCATTTGCTAATTGTGTTTTGTCTTTGCTAATTAAAAAGTGGGGCACCAGAAGGCTGGAAATAATATTTTATGGGTTTTCACGCAAAAAAAATTGAGAAAAGGATTTTAACTGCCGGCACGTGCTCTCACGTGACTTGTTTCCGGCAAAAAATGAAGAAAACCAGTCAATTGTCCACTTTCGAGCAAAATTGGATCGATTGGGGACCGCATTTGTTCTCCCCAATAGATTGGGAACTAGTTTCGTACGTTTGTAATATATTGGGGGACCAAAACTCCAATTCTCCCTGGAAAATATAAGCACCAAATATTGGATATTTGAGCTCGGAAGTGTGTCAAAGAAGGATTGTTAGTAGAACAATTAAAATGAGGCAATGTGTTGAGTTCAATAGTCATAGCTATAATACAAAATTACAACAGTAAATATTAGTCCACCTTTAATAGATACATCTAAGAGCCACGACCTAAATTCTCTAAACGCCAAGATTATCCCAAGGAGCAATGATCACTTTGCATTATCTTTGTGGGTACCTCCACACCAGGGTTTGTAACTGTCGAAAACAATAACCTTTAACATAGTTTAAAGTCAAGAAATTCCATCTAATTAAATAAAAATGAACAAAGATCAAAAGTGTTAGACATATTCAAATTAATCACAAGTCCACAACTTGAATTCTCTCTTTTACGTGAGCAAAGTCGATCGAATTTATTCTTCACTATCAGGACTTTTCTCAATCAATAGTAGTAGAAAATTTATGACTGATGCAAAAGCAAAGGAAATTGAAAGCAAATTGAAGAGACAAGTTAGAGGCGCAATTTTGTACTGAAGAATATTGCGTCGGTGTTTATGTCAATTTCATTAAAGGTGGAGTGCCTAAATTTTTTTTTGCAATCGAAAGATTATTCACCAAATCTTGTAGCTAGCATCATATATGTAGTTGTCCTTTTTCATAAAGGTTGTACGTTGCTTGGATGCTCTTGCAGGTACTTCTATCCTAACAATCACTTCAGGTTTTCCTTTAGAAAATAAATTTGTAAGTAAAATAAAAAATTGGTCAAAATGTATAGAGAGTTTTTCAAAAACTCTTAAAATAGAATAAACTCCTCTTTGCATTCCTGAACTTATATCACTTTTCTACTTTATAATCTAAACTTTACTTTAAATACTTTGCACTCTTAACTCTTAATTTTGAACATTTTGCACCCTAAGCTTATAAGTGTGTCCTATTTAAGCCCAATTAATGACAATTTTAGCAAAATTAACGGTATAGAGGGCCTAACGAATCAATGATAATGTATTGAAAGTAGTTCAACAGGTGCCAAGGTATCATAATAAAAATAAAATAATACATTATCATTAATTTGTACCATCTTTTATCTCATTAATTTTGCTAAAAATATTAGTAATTGAAACCTTATAAATAAATGATAATATACTAAAAGTGGTCAAAAAAGATAAGGGATTGCAGTTAGAACAGTACATTGTCATTAATTTTCGCTACTCTTTGTCTCATAAATTTTGTGAATGTAGTCATTAATTGGATTTAAGTTGGACAAACTTGAGAATTTAATATGTAAAATATCCAAAATTGAGAATTTAGGACATAAAATGTTCAAAATTGAAGTTTAGAGTATTAAGTAGGAAAGTGATACAAGTTTGGCGGTGGAAAGTGAAATTTGTCCTCTAAAATACTAACAACCACCCCCTCACGCATAGATCCTGATTTCCTTCCAAGTGTGACCTACTAACCTCCTAACACCCCAGCCATATCCGTGACTTGAGAAGAAAGCATAACTCCCCAACACCATCCCACCATCCCCCTCACCCCCAACCCAAAAAAAAAAAAAAAACCAGCACCCCAAAAAACAAGTCTTCTGCTTTTCTCTCTCCCACTTTCCCTTATAAATACACACACAAGTCATTTCTCCGCTTCACAACCCCAATCAACAACTCCACAAATCCTCTTCTGCAGTATCTTCTTTTTCAAAAACCACCCCTTCCCAAAGGAAAAAGAATACAAATCAGAGAAGAAGCTCAAGAGCAAGAAAAAGCAGCAAGAATGAGAACTCTAAGAACCTTAGACACTACTACCTCCAAAAAATTCACAACACCTTCAACAACAACCACAAAGCCAACTTTTTCAACTCCTGCAATAGTACAGAAGTCCCTATGGCACTCTCCACTGCCATATTTGTTCGGTGGCCTCGCAGCGATGTTAGGACTAATTGCTTTTGCCCTTCTGCTCTTGGCATGTTCTTACTGGAGACTGTCAAGCAGCATAAACAATCAAGAAAGCAGTGGTGAAAGGGATTCAGAAGAAGGTGGTGATGATGGGAAAGCTGAAAATGCTGCAGCAGGAAAAGCTATGCCTGGTTTTGAAGAGAAAATTGTAGTGATTATGGCTGGTGATGTCAAGCCAACTTTTCTTGCAACTCCCATGTCCAGCAAAGCTTCTTGCTTTGGAGATGGATTCAAGAAGAATGAGAATTTTGGCAAAGAAACGGAAGAGATTGTTGAGAGACCAAAACATGAGGTATCAGATCATGATGAGCAAACAGTAAGATCAGCTGAGGATGGAAATCAAAGTCGAGAATCAACCGCTGCCCAAGAAAGCCCAGAAGAAAACCAGCCATGAATTGCTTTTTTTTTTTTTTAAGACTCACATCTTTCTTAAAGAAAGAGAGAGAAGAGAAAAGGAGAAAGAAAGAAAGAGTTTCTTTGACTTATAAAACTCTTTTCTTTCCTTCTTAATTTGTTTTCTATCTTTTTTTTTTTTTGGTTCTTTCAATTTTGCATTGGGGTTTTTGGGACTTGTGCTCCGGGAAAATGTAAAATCATTTTTGAGATGAAATGAGAAACAACTAGGATTTTGCTGAAATGACAAGAATTTCTTGTTGCAAATTGTACTTGGATATACCCTATAGATGTTCTTGTTTTGTTCATTCATTTATTTATGCCCTTTTTTTTTCTTTAACTGTGATTTTGAAACGCGTCTCTGTTTTTGCATACTGAAATAATGTTCAGCTTTTTTGCCTTTTCAATCATTTGATTAAAGAATTAAAAGAAAGCTAATAAAGGTTGCATAAAGAAAATCCATTGAGTTCCAAAAAGTGGCATGAGTGGTATGAGTATATAATGCTATTTATCTACCACTACTGCTGCGATTTTAGACAAGATTTAAACCTGTAAAGAACAATGCATCAAGACTGATTGAAGTTGAGTTCTGTGTTATTAAAATCCAAAAGAGAATAAAGTGAAAAAATAAAAGAAAACTAAAGCACATATTCCTAATCTAACGATATTGCTTCCAACTTTTTCGAGTAGCTAAGAACACGGATTGAGGTTATTTGAAAAGAAAATTATGTGCAAAAATTTTTAAAATAATTATTGTAACACTTTTTTGCAATATAATATATGTTAGATGAAAAGATAATTGAAAAGATAAAAAAATAATTTAAAACGTGATTATGATATAATTAAATAGTTTTTTTACAAATAATGGTCAATTCAAATTATACTAAAAAATTAAAAAGAAAACTCATGTATGTACAAAAAAATAATACCATGTATATTAGCAAGACAACTAAAATATGACTAGATGGTTGGCAACATCAGATTATGGAGCTGCCGCAGAGACTTTTCCGGTGGCCGGCCAATATTGCCAGAGCGTGACAGGAAAGGAAAGGAGGAGGAACTGCGGTGGGACCACAGAGGAATTAAGCGCACCCTAACCTAAGCATTGAATAAAAGGCCGTGGGGAGTGATGCCCCACCTTTTAATTTTTGTTTGCCATTTTCTTGGGATGCATCTTGGAGGACACGTGGAGGTTTTTCAGCGCATCCTACGTAAATGTCGAAAGCAACGTGTCCACATCAATAGTCCCGACTCCTGTGACAAAGCTGATGTTCTATTTTGCTGCGGCGATCCAAAACCGCTTAGCCCTTAAATACCGGTTTTTTTTTTTATTTAACTTCAAGAACAAGCATAAAAAGGGATGAACACTTTCTTTTTTTTTTAATCTTAGAAAAGTAATTAAGCGTCTGAGATTCAAATTATTCAAAGGTTTTTTTTGCTTGATATTTAATATTTAAATTTAAAAAATATAAAAAAAACTTGTGTCCAATAGAATTTGAACCTATACCAAATGTTTAAAAGACCTTTGTCCTGTCCATAGACACCTTGATGACTTTGATTTTTTTTTTTCACACAATTTAAGAAAAGTTAGCTAATTTTGTTGAAAGAATAAATCTAACTTATTATCTTTCTAATATACCTTCATATTAATGGAGTATGACTAATTAGTTTTATATTAAATAAATTAGGTTATACTCAATAACAACCTATATTAAATAAGGACATTTTAAAGAAGTTACAAATTAAGTACATTCTTCAATTGAAAGTGGACTATAATTTAGGGCAAATGAAATAAAAAAACAAGTCTATCAAGTGGAATAAAGGGAGTAAATATTTGATGTTAATAATTTTCTTTAAATTAAGTGTCTATTTGGTGGGCACACGTTAATTGTAATATATGCATGTACATAATAGGTTAACTCAATTTTAGATGTGTCACAAGTGTCCATTAGACACCCTTTAGAAAAATTCTTAAATTAATTATACATTATCACTATCGAATGCATCACAATTCATTTTAAAATCTTTTTTTTGGCTAGTTTTGTATAGATTTTGTATATTTACCTGGAGTAAATTGATGGTAAAAAAAAGATGAAAATATTGGGATATTCACTTTCAATTTTCCTTTCACTTAACAAGGCAAAAGAAAGATGGCCATGAAGCTAATTGTCCCAACGATCAAGCAGCTATTTTTGCGTCTTTTTTAACCCCTAGGATTACTATGTCTAAGTTGTTTTCTCTTTGAATTTTCAATTTTGTTCGTTTTCTTGCTTGATGAGTTTAAGAAGGTCATTGGATAAATGAGGTCGTTAAAGAGGGATGGTTAAAGGAGCAAATGATTTCTTATTTGATTTCGTTTATGGCATAATTGGTATCAACTAGGTTCCTTTTTTTTCAATTATTCTTAAATGAAACATCAAGATCACCAAATTCCCTTGTCGCGCCCTATTTTTGAAAAAAATAAAATTACAGGTTTATAAAAATGAATTTTGATTAATTTTGAGTGAAAATGAGTTTTTGATTTAGAAAATAAAGAAAATGGGCCTAAATGGGACTTAAAAAGTGCGATGATTTTGACCCAAAAATAAAAGTCTAAAAAGGATTTTTAAGAAAAAATAAGAGTCATCATTTAGTATTGAATTAAGGTGTACCAAATCACCCAAAAATGTATTTCAAATAAAAAGTAGAGAAAAACCCTTTTTAAACGACTCTAAATTTTCGAAAATCAAGAGAAATGGGCTTGGGAATCATGGTTGAAGAAAGGGAAGACAAGGATAAAATTCAAGGCACCCTTTCAACTTAGCCAGAGATAGTTGCGTGATTTAGTCAGAAAATTTTCGTAGTTTAACCTATAAAACTTATCATATTTGAAGGTTACTTATATGAATACAAACCTAGACCTAATGGCTTATCGGAAGGGTCAATATGTCTCTTCGAATTTTAGTTGGTGCAAATCGCATTAATTGCGACGCCCAAAAGTAATTCTTTGAAGAGGTCACGAATATGCAACAATGAGACTTGAAAAAATAGAAAAATTATAATATACAAATATACGTGACGTAAAAAAGAGGAATACAACATAACGGGTATGGGAGCTACTAAGATTTGTGACTCAATTTTTCCTTTTATAGAGGGAATACAAGCGTACTAAGGTTAGAAAGTCATACTCATCCATATCCCATATTTGAGGGGTACTCCCTAACTTAATCAAGCAAATGTACTAACCTGTTTCTAACTTTCTTTAAATAAAATGCAAGTCTAATGTCATGTCTCACACATAGGGATAAGGAATATACATATAGGGGAAATATCACGCAAATGGTAAAGATCCTAAAAAAATAGAAAATGTGCATGAAATGTAGTGATTGTCACACAAACATGATCTAGCGCGTGGACGGTCTCGAAGGGTCTAGCATTGGACTAACCAATGTCTATAAGTTCTCACTGGCGTTGGACTAGTGAGAAATCGCGAAAAAAGAGCCACAACTTGGACTAGTGTGATGACATTATACATTTATTATAATCAAATAAATCATATAAAACATAATAAAAACAAGAAAACACATAAATCACATAGAGCACATAACACATAAGCATGATATATGATGCAACGACCCTAAGAAAGCGAGTAAACATGTAAACACACAAGCATGCAAGGACGCAAGCATATAAAAGCGAATAAAAACCTAACTATTATATTCGGGGGCCCTAACTACAATCTAAAGAGGTAAAAAATGAAATGAAATAAAATAATAACCTAATTATTACAATTTGGCATTTAATCGCCTTTCAAATGATCAAAAATTAAATTAAAATAACTATACAAAATTAAAAACAAATAAAGTGACTAAATAAATAAATGAAATAAAATAAAAAACATTCAAAAACCATGCAATTGCACACATAAAATCACATAGGAGTACATAGGATTTAAAAGAAAATATCTCCCCTTAAAGTAGTAGCTAATTGGGCTTGGATTTACCCTATTCAAAACTCCAAAAATCATCAAGGCACCAATTTAATTAATAAAAAAATCATAAGGAGATGGAAATAAACATGAAGTCTATCAATTAAGGCATTCAAATGGAATATAATGAATAATTAAAAAATAAATGCAACTTCTACTTGAGAAATCAAACAAACAAAGACTTAATTACAAACAATTGAGAAAATTTTCGGAGTCAAATTTTTATTATTACAAACTTTAGGGGTTGAAATCAAAGCAAATTAAAGTTCTAAAAACTAATTAAGCTCTAATTATCTTCTAAAACCAGAAAATGAGACTTGCTTAAAACATGGTTAAAACCATAAGGAGATGATTGAATTTCAAAAGGATAAAATTGATTATTTTCCATACTTTTGGGCTATAGTGAAATAGGGGAAAACTAGAGGGGTTAAAATGAAATTTGTGGAAGTTTTGCATGCAAAGCTTCGAAGAAGCATTCTGCAACTGAAGCTTTCTGCAACTTTCTTCCTTCTTTTTTTTCGCTTGCAACTGATTCAACACAATCAAACATAACTTCCGACTAGTGAAACTTTAGAATTTCTTACGTGCCGGGGAAGCAAAATTTAGGCAAAACATGTTACAGTGCTCTTAATCATCCAAATGCAAAAGAGATTTCCACGCATTAGATTCGAATGATTGTTGCATTTTCTTAACTCAGTTCATGGGTCTACTATGTATACAGCTCTGTCGAGATTCAAGTCCAAACACATACAAAATCTAAACACTCAAGCACATGAAATCAACATCCACTGATGTAGAGGGGATTTTAAACTAATGTCCTGTGGGAACACGGGGAAGAAGAAAAGAAGACAGCAGAAAGGGAACAAACAAGAAAATAAAACAAAAAAAAACAGCAGCAAAAATCTCAACGTTTCTGTTCTAAATCTAACCATATCTGACTGGAAAAGGATGAGAATATTACCTTAATCACGAAACAAAGTGTGGGATGACCAAAGAAAAGGACTCAGATGGATCTGGCGGATCTTCGAAAGTGCGCCAGTGGAAACCAGTGATGACGACCCAGTAAGTTGAGGGTTTAATTCAAAGGATTTTTAGGCTTTTTCCAAATAGAATTTCTGAACGAAAATTTGTCCTCTCACTTCATAGATACCCCAGATCTCTTAAAACATCAAGAAGAGGCCGATTCAGTGGAGAAAATTGCCAC